AATTTGTACCATTGGCGTACATAACTCGAATGACTGACATTTTTACCGTTACTAATTGTTTGTACATAAGTTTCAACTTTAAAATCAAATTTCTTAATAAGAATTGGGCGGAATTATAAAATTTAAAAGTCTGTTGTAAAGAGAATTGTAAGTGATTTCAAAAGAAATATTACTCAACCTCCAATGCCATTTAAATATTTTGGGGTGATGCTTACCCTTGCTTGGGGGGTGAAAGTGGCGGAGTCAAAAATACCAGCAAAGAATGTCCCCCTTTAATCTAAAATCGACGGGTCTGAGCGCTTTTCTACAATCTTAACGTAGTTTCTGAAAATGGCTCTGTTTCGTTTTCATTTGGCCACCCTGTATATTTTAAATTTGTTGCATAAGCCTTTCTTTCTACATATGAAATGTTATGTTATGAAATAAACTGTTATGCATTAACCTTCATATTTTTTCGCAAATAGATTCTTTGATTTGGTGATTGGTAGATAAATATGCAAAAAAGTTACGTTAAACGACATTTTATTTCAAGATTATTATATTCTACAGTGTAAAGCTCCAGGAAACATGTTCCTCATTATAGGCCTTTACAAAAGTCTCCTTCTGTTTTATGGATAAATTCATATAGTGTCAGAAAACGTACTAAATACTATATAAATTAAACTTGTTGTTTACTTGGACATGTTTGCAACATAAAATTTAATAAAAAAATCATTGAGAATATGAAATCGTATTGAAAAACACCGCAATTATTTCCTATTTTCAATTTTTATACCGTTTTTTGAAGACTGATTGATTTGTTACTTGAAAAAGTGTTGTGTTTAGTTTGGTCAAGTGAATAAAACAGTTTCGATTTTACTTGAGCAAGTGGCTTCCTCCACCACTGTTTTGAAGCAACCAAACGCCAAATAGAGAAGTGTAAATGGACCAGTTTAATAACGTTTATTAGTAGATATGAAGTATTTTTGTTTCAATATATAGAAAAATATGAACTATTATGAGGAAACGTTCGACAATCATATTTCGAATACAAACACTCAAGCTGTTTCCAATACTTAACATGATTTTGTATGCATTAATTTGTTCATACATAAGTCATAAAATATGCACACGATTTTGACAACAAAAATGTTTAAAAGAAAAATTGTTGCATCGTATAATTCATGTACAAATTTGGAAAATACAGGTTTTGCCAAACGAAATAACTTCTGTAAAGTTCTATATAGGTAGCTTTACCAAGCTCATCTTGTCCGCGAGATGTGCAAATCAAGAAGGGAGTCCGTATTAGGAGTGACAAAGATAGGATATCTAATAGTAGGACAGGTACGTTTGGTCTGGTAAAAATAATTAAGTATTTAATGATGGTGTTGCAAAATGTTGTTGAGAGAACAACAGATTTTACATCCAAAAATACGAAAAAAATCCTATAAACGTAGGTACGCAAATGCTTCGTTTTCGAAATAGAGGGTGTCAAAGAAAAATATGTTTTTTATTGATACTTTCTAAATTTTTCATTGGAAATCGTTTAAAATTGGGGCAATACAGCGATACGTAGGTTATAATTTGGTATAATCGATTGTAGTTCAGACCCATCAAGGGCGTAGATATGGGGAAGTATCTATTGATTTTTGACCAGAAAATCTATGCCACTGGTTTTTCTACTGGTTTTTACTTTATTTTTAGGAGCAAAAGGTCCCGCTGCACATTTGTCATTTATGACCCAAATTTAAACGATTTCCAATGAAAAATTTAGTCATAAAATAACATATTTTTATAGGAATATTTTTTGCATTTTTGGATGTAGAAGCTGCTCTAGAATTCTCTAAGCAACATTTTGCAACACCTTGTATATTTATATATAATCAAATTAGCTTCGCTTGATCCTATTTGATAACCGATGTTTACCGTTCGAAGTTGAGATACAGAATGAGCTCTGGTGCTTGTCTAGTATCGTTGTCATTGCAAATATGACAAGATGATTTTTTTTTAAGTTCGCGTTGTCAGGAATAGCAGTTCTCATCCAGCAGTTCTTTGGACGTCCTCATAGAATTTCTATATTCCGGTTAAAGTAATATAAAAATCATATGTTATCCTCCGGCTTAATCATTTTCGTACTTAAAAACGCTTTTTCACGTTAAATCAAATAGTTCCTAAAAATATCAAGCTACTTGACTTAATAAATCTCTAATTAAAATTATTTTATTTGAAATAATTGATGCTTTATGAAGCATAACTGACTAATTTGATCAAATTACGGGTTTTGAAATAAAATTTGATGTTATCTTAAATACATATACAAAACTAATAGATATGATATAAATGAGGTCCATTAAAAATGAAGTTTCCGTAAAATATTGCGACATAATATTAACTATAGATTTTGAATTTGATATTATTATTTGTATATCTTTTACTCAGAATCGATAAATGTTGAAAAACTTGAACTGAAGAGTTGTTTATAATAGATAACAATTTATGAAATTTTTCACTAATTTAAAAACAAAAGGTGATTCATATATTTTCACTATAGGGTGCGTGACTTGGTACCCTCGAGACATACAATTTCATATTTTTGACTATCAACAAACTGACTGCACCGAAATTTTTGGTGGAATTATAAAATACCCATTTAGATATTTTTTGTTAAAATAAATATAAACTGGTTCTATGAATACCGAGTAGGGGACACCAGTGCTTGTTGTCGCAAGGGTAAATTGTCGCAATTACTACAATTCCGAAATTCGAAAACATTGGCCTATAAATCTTTATCACAAGTTAATTACAGATCCCTTCTTTATCTTCCCTAAGTTTGGACTCAAACCGCTAAGATGGCAGCACCGTAGGGTACGATATAAGAACTACTGCGCACGTCGTAAATTTTCGTGTTATATCCATTATTGAACGATAAGGTAAACAAATTTTATATGTAATTATAACTTAGGATGTATGTAATACGATGTGATATTTTTAAATATGTTTATTAATCATATATAAAATTAATTAGATATAGGTAACCAATATTTTGTTAAGTGGGGGTAATTTGTCGCATTGTTTATTCAACTACGTGGTTGGTAAAACGTTGATATCGGTAGATTTTAAATAATAGATAGAGATACACTATACAAAGGGTATTTCTGAAATATTTCAATTTGTCTTAAAATAGGTCTAATGGACTGTAATAAGAACACTTTATTTTATATGCATTGTATATGGTGAGAACATATAAAAAAAACTGAACGAGCACCCGTTAGTTCAAATGTTATGATGACAGCAGCAAGAGCAGTTAAGCTTAGAGATTCACCAATTTCCATTAGAAAAGCCGCAGAGAAATACGATCTCCATGTCAAGGCTCTAGAGAGATTTTGTAAAAAAGTTACCGATGCAGAACTTATGGCTGGTTGTTCTCAAATTAAATTAGGGTACAAAAAACCAAGAATGGTGTTTGATCAAGATGAAGAAAATCGTCTAGAGGAGTACCTTAAGAAAGCATCCGACATTTATTTTGGCCTTACCCCGAAAGAAGTTAGGCATCTAGCATATGACTATGCAAAAGCTTTGTCGAAATCAGTCCTAGATTCGTGGTATGAAAATTCAATAGCCGAACCAGATTGGTTTTCAAGCCTCCTGAAAAGGCATCAACAGTTGTCTATCCGAACACCTAAAGCCACCTCAAAGTTTTTCTTGATGAGGAAAACCACCCACTAAAGAGCAAAAGCATTGTTAAGCAAAAAAAAGTAAAGTTAGGAAAGAAGTAACCTCCTCTGATGAAGAGGAAGCAGAAGAAATGTTTTGCCTCGTATGCCATGGTCGTTACAGTTTATCCAAAATTAGTCGAGGCAATGAAGCAGTAAAAAGGCCAAAAGTTCGGAATTTTTTCCATAAAGACGGATCGGAATGCGTTTGTTTGCATTCTCTTCCAGAAATTCTCGGAGATGACGTCCACGTCCAGGTTCGGGCGCACCAGGTGTCCGGGGGGTGTTCGACGATGGCATATTTGAATTCAGCGACCCAAAAAAAACCCGGGCGCCGAGTTTATCTCCTTCCCCGCGTGATTTGTGGAGAGTCCCACGGAGATGACGTTCATCGGCGTTCATGAGCTCCAGGTGTTCGGGGGGTCAATTTGAACATCATAATCGTGATCAGCGACCTCGAAAACCCCCGAGTACCCGATTTGGGCCAGTTCTAACTCTTATTTACAAAGTTTTGAAATCTTCCAAAAGGCGTCTCAAAAAATGCATTTTTTGAATGCATTTTTGACTGCAGCAATGCAATTTCCGGTTTGTCAGAAACACAAAGTAGCCACATTTTTTACAAAAAATTTTTGGAAGAGAATGCAAAAAACCGCATTCCGATCCGTCTTTATGGAAAAAATTCCGAACTTTTGTGCTTCATTGCCTCGCCTAAATAGATTGGTTGCAATGCACGAAATGTAAATTTTGGGCCCATAAAAGTTGCACAGGTGGCAATCCCTATTACGTATGTCTACACTGCGATTCCGATGATGACTTGTAACCTTGCATTTCGTATAGATATAATATTTTTGGTTATTTATATTTTTTTAATGGTATTAAACACTTATAATAGTTAATAAACAGTTTTCTCACATTAATTTTGTTAACGACAACTTACCCCATATAAAACAACAACATGCCCCGCCATGGGGTACGTTGTTGCATTTGTCTATAAAAATAATATATGTCATAAATTTAGTTAAATTTGTATTTTCCAATTTATTCTTCTTAGATATTTTTGATCAATCATACAAAAATCTTATAACCATATTTATTTGTAAAAAGTGCCAAAAACAACTTAAAAAATAAATTAGTACCAAATTTGCGACAAGTAGCCCCGGTCTCCCCTAATAACAAAAAATGAGTCAACTCTTTTTCTGTATGAATCATTACACATTTGGGCCAGCCTGTAGAAAATATTACACTACTTCGACAACAATCGTAGATAGGTAGATAACCTAGTTTATCGAAATAAATTGAATAATTGTGAGTACTTTTATCCTGTAATGATCTCAAACAACTTTATTTCGTTAGAAACCTTCGCCATGCCACACAATCACAACTTCGACGAGGTAACACCTAAACCGCCTCCGAGAAACAAGTATTTGTCATGTTTTAAAACAAACGCTTTGGTAATCTTTACCCTTAGCGGCGTAATCTTGGGCGCCATCCTCGGGTTCTGCCTTCGAGGAGTAAAGGATTGGACACCCAGGGAACAGGAGTATGTAGGATACGTGGGTGATGTGTTTCTTCAGATGCTGAAGTCTTTGATCGTTCCTCTTATTGTATCATCGCTAATATCTGCCATAGCTAGTTTGGATTTGTCCCTGTCTGGGAAAATATCGGCTAGAGCTATAAGCTACTACTTGACGACGACGTTTGCAGCCGTTGTCTTGGGAATGATATTGGTGGTTTCTATAAGACCTGGGAAAGGAGGCAGTGATAGTGCGGATAATGGTCCGAGTGAATCAAGTAGAAACGCATCTACCACCGATACTTTGTTAGATCTTGTCAAGTAAGTACAGGCGACTTCTTGATACCATTTTTTAAAATAAAAGTTGACTAAACCAAAAACCGAAACAGATTTATAGCAAAATATATTATGGTACTGGTATTTTACTGATTTTTTTATGTTAAGATTGATTTTTTTAAATTTTATGTATTGTGTAAGGAAATTTGTTTTTATTAGTATTATAGCTTAAATTTTTTAAATGTGCCTTAAATTAGTTGTATATTTCAATTATTATGAGGTAATGACATGAATAAAACATATTCGGGAAAGTAAAGTCTACAATATAATCAGGTAGATGTGCACTATTTTATATGATGTATTTAGTTTCAAATTTGGGGAAAAAAATTATTTTCTCTTGCACCCTCAAAATTATATTTTCAATAAAAGTGTCTATCTTGTTGTCGTAATTGACGACTAGTTAAAAGAAAACTTACAAAATTAGATACACTGTTTGAGAAAAACTCAAGTAGTTTAAGTTGTAGGATTAATTTAGATACTAGATATAATATTTAAAACATATAAATATAAAAATCCCGCTTAACTCCATACCAATAATTGAAATATTTGTTCTGCTTTTCCAGAAAACTAAATAGTTTATAGGACAAAAATATTGACATTCGTTAAAGACCTTGGACTAGGTCCTAGAAAATATTTTTTATTACATTTTCTGTGTACAGAGTTTTCTGGTATTGATAAGGGAAACAACGTATTTGTGTATGATACTTAAAAGTTTATCTAAGTACCACTTGCTTTCAAAAATGTAAATAGTAGGCAGTTGTAGATGAATATCAAATATATTCAATATAAAGTTATATTATATTTCTAAGCATTGTTCTGAAAAAAATACATATACAGAGTGTTCAACCTAAGAGGGATTCTTCTGTAACTCTGCAACTGTAAAATTGATAATATGGTTGGGATAATGGGATATATTGATGGTTTTAATAAAGGCTGTCTGGAATCATGTGGGCGATGTAAAGAAAACATTTTAGCTTTACAGGGTGTTCCATTTCGCGTGGGCACTTCATAACTTTGTTATTTTAAATGGAATACTCTGTATATTATTGCGTTTATTAAATGTACATGGTGTTTAAAACTTGCCGTTTTCAAGATAATTAGTTGTGTTTGAAAAAAATCACGATTTCAGCTCTCTAAATGAGGTTAGATAGCGTCTAAACTGTAAGAGTTAGAAACCTGCAGTTTTCATAGTTTGTTTTGGAATAAATTACTCTATATTGTCATCTGCGAGCAAAACGTGTACGGAAATACTGAGGCCTACATTTAATAATCTTACGAGTTGAAAAACTTTTTCTTTTCAAATGGAATGACCCATATTAATTGTCATAGGTGAATGCAAAATTGAATGCCCTTTCGACTGATGTAAAGTTGTCCATACTTATCTCTAACAGTTTTCCAGAAAAATTTCCAGGTTCTTTTCTAAAGTCCGAAAAAGTAGCTATGTAACATAGTCAAGAATACCTTGTAATTGTATCTAGTACAACGTCAATACATATGATTTTACAAAAGCACAGCACATCCTTATCGCATCGAATTGTACCAAGAGTTACTAAAAGTAGACTTTCAGCGGAGACTGGAGTTTTGTACTTGAGCACTTGAGATGTTAAATCAAGATGATGATTTTTTTAAACGGGTCCTGTTCTTCGATGAGGCTACTTTTCATAAACATGGATTCGTTAATAGTCATAATTGCCATTATTATGAGGCAGTAAATCCTCACCAATTCCGGACAACGATGGCCTTTGAACGTATGGGAAGTAATTTTGGGAACTAACGTCATTGGACCATTCTTTTTTGACCAGCATCTAACTGGAGCAGTTTATTTAAACTTTTTAACAAACACTCTAGAAGATTTGCCATTCGATATTCCTTTAGCTACACTTCGAAGAATATGGATGCAACATGATGGTACTCCACCTCACAATACCGCTGCGGTTCGTCAGTTTTTACACGAAACTTTTCCCAGCAGATGGATTTGGCGCGGGGGACCAGTGAGTTGGCTTTCAAGGTGTCCTGATATGACAAGTATAAAAAGCAAAGTTTACGTTACACCATCAACTACCCCGGAAGATATGTGGCAGCGCATTACAGTAGCATTTCAAGAAATTACGCCAACATTGAACAGTCTTTTAAAAACCAAATTCGTTTGTTTATTAATCGAAACGGAGGACACTTCGAGCAATTGATGTAAATCAGCGGTATAAGTATTCGTCTCCTTGTATTCCGAGTTTCAGTGTTTCGTTTTGCGTTTTGTTTTAGTTGTTGTTAGTGGTTTACTTTTGTTTGTCAAACCACTTTTTAAACATGTCAGTAAATATTGACACTGTCAGTCCCAGGCCTGATAAAATGTGAGAGAAAAGTGGTTTTGCAAGGCCTTCTTGACGCTGTTACATAGCTACTTTTTCGGACTTTAGAAAAAAACCAGATTTTTCTGGAAAACTGTTAAAGTTAAGTTATAGACAACCTTATATCTGTCGAAAGGGCATTCAATTTTGCATTCACCCATGACAATTAATATGGGTCATTCCATTTGAAAAAAAGAAGTTTTTAATCTCGTAAGATTATTAAATGTAGGTTTCAGTATTTCCGAGTCTGAATAACGTACACGTTTTGCTCACAGATGATAAAATATAGTAACTTATGCCAAAGCGAACTGTGAAAACTGTAGGTTTCTAACTAACTTAAAAAACAACTGATTATTTCAAAAATGGTAAGTTTTAAACACCATGTACATTGAAAATAACTCTACCAATATCGACCAAGAAATTCAAAAATTCAATAATAGACAGGGTGTTCCGTTTAAAATAACAAAGTTATGTAGCGCCTACGCGAAATGGAACACCCTGTAAAGTTAAAAATATTTTCTTTGCATGGCCCATATGATTCTAGGCAACTTTTATTAAAACCATTTTCTTATACATTTTACAATTGCAGAGTTACAGAAGTTTTCCTCTTAGGTGGAACATCCCGTATAAAATCTATTACTTGATGTTCAGAGTAGTTCATCTTATTTTCTCCATTATTTTGCGAAGTATGTGTAAGTTGAGAAACAATGAACATCAGATTGCAGAAATATGGGCCTAAGATTGATTTTTTAAATGTATTTTCAGACATTTGGAACACTTTTCCTTATTACACTAATGTAGGGTTTTGTGGATCTGTAATAATACGGAAGATATGGCCCAATGAATATGTTATAAGCTTAATATGTTATAAATAAGTAAAATGAAAAATAATACAAGTAAATACAGTGAAGTTTGTTTATAACAATATCCCAAAGGACAGTGCAATTTGTATTCTAAACGAGAAATAAATTAATTGGTACTAGTTGGCAAACAATCCTTCATACTTTATATAACTGTAAGTAATTGTAGGAAAACACTATTTTCAAATATAAAGTTACTTCCATTAAAAAAAAGGTACTAGCGTTATGTTTTTTTTTTAATTCGACTTTAGATCATGTGGTTGCTTGCCAAATATTTGCCAAATGTAAACAGATGCAGTATGGTATAGACGACTGAATGTTATCGAGTGGGAGCATGTAGATTTGGGCGGAAACAATATATTTATCAAACGTAAACAAATGACGAATCGTGTAGATGATGCACGTCGGTGCATTCAAAAGCATGTCTCCATTTGGCAAATATTTGTGTGTGAAGTGACTATTTTTTCGATATGTAATCTGCCTGAATGTACGAACACTACTACCAACATTTCAAGAAAGCATCACTCATTACATTTGAAAAAAATTGTGACCGCACACGGTTATACATGTGATGTAATGATGCTACACATATTATGTACTTGTACATTATGTGTATGAATAACTTGACGCTATAAACTTTGGCTAAATATTCGGCAATTATTTGACACATTTGTGTTTGATGATTGGTAGTTTAGACTGGTTTGGTGTGCAATTAATCTTATTGCCCATAACATACATTAATGTAATTTATTAAATATGTAGTAAAATTAAAGTTCTTTTTAATTTGTTTCAGAAATATGTTCCCTCCAAATTTAATTGAAGCATGTGTTTTTCAGGTAAGTATGATTTTGTCGAAATTTGTTTGTTTTTTTTTGTATTGTTTTTGTTTGTTTGTATTTACTTTGCTACACTGAATTCTATAAGCACATAATGCAATTAAATGTAGAACTGCAAATGATGATGAATGAACAGTTTATGTTCAGTAAGATTCGACAACGATTAATAGAAACTTTTTTTTAGTACCGTACAAAGTCATCAGATGGTATTTCCAAATCAGGTAATTCAAATAAATCTTTTTAGACTCGACATCTTTATACTGTATAATTGTCCCTTTAGTAATGGAATCAGTGCAAACGACGAACATTCTGGGTTTGGTGGTAGCCTCGACAGCCATAGGAATAGCATTAGCCCAATTAGGAGAAGAAGCAAAAACTTTGGCTAACTTGTTCCATAGTTTAATGGCAGTCATGATGAGGATCACCACATGGGTGATATGGCTTTCTCCGCTTGGAGTTATGTTCTTGGTGGCATATCAAGTTCTGCAAATGGCCGACATAGCTTTGGTCTTATCATCCATTGGCAAATATTTTGGTACAGTTTGCCTAGGCTTGTTCATTCAAGGATTCGTTATTCTTCCTATAATATATTATATAATGACGAGAAAGAATCCTGTGACTGTTGTGATTAGTCTTGGAGAAGCTATAGCAACTGCCTTTGGAACTGCTTCAAGGTAAAATTAAACATTGCTTTGATAACATGTTGACAAGTCTTCTAAAAAACAATATTATCTAGATTTAAATTCTTTCTTCTCATAAGATCACTGAAATTATTATTACCGCTGCTGTTATTAATGCCATTTATAGTTCTGCGACACTACCAGTGACCATTCGTTGCCTAGAGGATAAGCTAGGAGTAGACAGAAGAGTTGCCAGGTTCTGCCTACCGATTGGTTCAACGATAAATATGGATGGCACGGCCCTTTATGAAGCTGTAGCCGCCATTTTTATAGCACAGGTTAGGGGCATACCCCTGGGTATAGGAAAGCTGATTGCCATTAGTATAACTGCCACAGCAGCTAGCATTGGGGCTGCTGGTATACCCCAAGCTGGTATGGTCACCTTGGTGATGGTTTTGGATACGGTTGGGCTGAATGCAAGTGACGTCACTCTCATTATCGCACTTGATTGGTTGCTGTAAGTGCTACATACAAAATATAAGCTATATTTTGCAGATTTATGTCAATGGCCAATCTCTGTTATAAAATGAAAAATAAAAATTGTTCCCCTTTTCAGTTCAAGTGTTAGGCACATTTTGGGTAGTTTTAGTTTTGGGGGTGATGGGGTGGGGGAAGAACAAATTCAAAATAAAATGCAATTTTATTACAATGTTATCAAACTTTCTAATGTATTACTCGAAAACCTTGTAATTCTGAAAACAATGAACACAAATGCTCTTCAAGGACTATCAGTTATATTAACAATTATAGGTTCGACTTGATAAATAAAATCAAATCGTCTTATCTTGTAGATTAATGCCATTCAATTAATATATAGAATCTTATTATCTAATCGAATAGATAGTTTTGTTTTTAGAATTGTACACGTCATAGATATTTTAATTTGTTGACATTTTCGGTCCACTTTTATAGCACCTATTTTATATTAGCAAATTCAATTACTTTTACCGCTATTGTTATTATTAATTAATAAAATTAATTTGTGATTTTAATTAATAAAATAATTGGCATACCTGATGTTACAACAATTGCTCAAAATTTTGTCCCCTAACATGTAAGCACATTTGGGCTTGCCTTATTCAGTTTCTATGAACTAACACTAAATGTTGTCTTGTTTCACCATAACACAAATGTTTCACCACAACGCAAATGTTGTCTTGCTTCATCATAAATTAGAACGATATCCATCGACTCTGAATTGCTATAGACACAAGCCATTTTTGACACCAACTACTAAAATACTATTGTAAACACTATCGCAACGACGATTGTAAAATCGGATTTCAGTATTCGCCGAAGCCACGTGGTTCTCAACGTGTAATGCGAATGACGCTAAAGACTACAGTTCAACAATTTTTTTCTCGGAAACTATAAGGATTTTACAAAAATTTTTTACCATATTGACTCCATTTCTTGTGCCGATTATCTTGTGTTATGGACAATGTGGTGATTTGGTCATTATACATAATACACAAAAATATCTGTGTATTTATTTTAGTATAACATTTTTATGTATCGCACTGTCCAGAGAAAATAGGATAATTTATTATACTGAGATAAATACGGCATCGGATTATAGTTTATTGTTATCCGATAAAAAATACTGTGCAATTTTAGGGACCGTTTTCGCACTGCTATCAATGTTATGGGGGATTCCTTTGGAGCTGCAATTGTAAATCACCTCAGTCAGAAAGAACTAGGTGCTCTGCAAGAGGAACATACATATGCCAATCCATACGAAGAGATTTACGTGACGAATATTGATTCCGATGAGCCAGAGAAAAGAAATAGTTTGTACGATCAATAAAGTATTCGAATTTTCACAAAGATATAAAGACTTATTATGTAAGAGTATTTATTTACTGTATTTTATACATAACACTAAAGCATATTTTTGCATCTCATACGGTTATCCAAAAATAAATTCCTGAATAATAATAATTAATAAATCACTTGATTTTCCCAAAACAAGCTGCAGACAGAACTTATGCTTACATAACGTTTATAGTGATTTAATTTATCATAAACATTTTTAGATGTGTTGCTGAAATGAATATACCAATTATTTTTAATGTTAATAATAAATAGAATGAAAGGAAACATTGCTTCCGGTGAAAAAAATAATTTTAAATTTAATAAATTATCTGATTACTTGCATTATACATCATCTAAAAACGGCTATATTATAAAAAGTATTTGAATAGTGGCTGTGACCATTTTTGAAATGTAGTATTTGTTATTGATGAACTTTTCTCATTAGAGCAAATATGACTGTATAATTCGACAAAGCAAGTAGGAATGTAGGTATTAACTATGCAAAGTCTGAAAATAGTTGTAGATGTGATATTGTTTAATCGATAATATATTATTTTTTAGAAATATTCATGCCGCAGTTTTTTTCGTACCTTTTTTAGCCTCCAGCGAAATAACCTGTCATTTCGAATAGAAGATATGCCTTTAAAGAAAGAGATTGCGTATTTGGTCAGTTTTGATTATATTGTTGTATACTGTGTACCTAATAGTAAAAGTAATGAGTCTGAAAATGTGCTTTTTCAGAAATCACAAACAATATTAGTTAATTAATATGAACTATGAAATTTTTATTGATGCATACCTAACATCTCTTCATTACAATCTCATTGTCAAGGAAACGATTTCATAAGCAATCATTGTTTATACATACACAGGGTGTTGGGAAAGTTGGTACAAAATTTAAGGGAGTGAAAGAAGAGCCGAAAATAGTAAAAAAAAGTTCCTATAAACATTGGTCCTCCGGAGCACCGTTACTGAGATATGGCCCTCCAAAGAGGTCTTATCATTTGGATATTTTTTAAAATAACTTTCTTTCTGATTAAGATAACGGAATGAAAACTGTAGGTAATAATGATACCATAAGGGTCTTTAACTACCATAAGTTTCATTAAAATCGGTTATAAATACGGATAGTTTTGTAACTACTCTTAACAGAAATATTTTGAATTTTTTTTATTCCTTTGAATAATCAAGCAAATAATATGATTTTTTAATGAATTAGACTTTTTTGAAGAAGAAATGTATCTACTTTTTATTTAGAATACTGCGTAGTTTAGTCAGAAATAATTATTTTTTAAATAATGTAGGTATGTATTTTTTAAATAAATTTTTATTTTGAATTTTAGGTTATAACTTTGAAACATAAAATACATAAAAAACGTAAAAAATCTTAATTCCGAGTGTGAAGCAATGACTCAAATTGTGCACCCTGGACAATACAGGCATGTAATCTTTTTAGGAAGTTGAATCGAACTCGCTGAAAAATTTCACGTTGAATTCGTATGGCATCAAAACCTACAGGCGTAGCATATACTATTCTTTTTACGTCGCTCCATAAATAAAAATCATCCGCATTTAAATCCGGCGAACGAGGTGGTACCATTTCCACGACCAAACCATTTTCCCGGGAATAATCTATTTAAAAAATCCCGCACTGGCTGAGCATAATGTGGAGGAGCTCGATCTTGCAAAAAAAACATGTTTGTGTAGTTCAAGAGGAATATCATCTAGTAGTTCTGAAAGATCATTTTCCAAAAAGCTTAGACATTCAATAACTCCCAATCGATTCGGTAGAAAGAATTGAAAATTTTAAAATATCTAGGTATTAGTTTTTCCTTTTTGGGTTACCTTAATATTTGGTGTTGGCGGTGCATGTCGCCGTGATGAACTGTACCTACCAATTAAATTTGAATTATATAGAGATTTAGGATCAAAGCTTTTGATTAAAATGCCGGACAATAAAATGAAAAACCGACGAGATCATTTGTGATGAATTTGTTGTAAGAGTGCGATTCTTTTTCGGTTTTATTTATCAGTTTTGTTCCTTTGGGCCCACTGCATCAACGATTCTGCAGTTTTTTACGTCACAACATTAATTTATAAGGTTTTATGTTTTACGCGGTTGAAATTCGAATTTATATATGATAATAAGGTCGTAATCTGGAAGAATAAAGTTTTTACGAGATATTTTAGTACGGTGCTTCTAGCGGGATCGCCACGGCTAGTTTTCATCGTTTCTGCTATATTGAAGCGTTCATAAAACATCAATTGGTTTGATGAAATTTCGAATTTGGGTCGAGAAATAATATTTTCATTATATCTATCGGTTGGAGCAGCAAAATGTTTACTTCACTGAATAAGAATTATTGTATTTCTGTCAAAATTGGCACTATAGTTTTAAATTTAAAAAATATGCTTATATCTGTTCTATTTATTTAAAAGGTTTATGAAATTATTACTTTCAAACTTTGTACAGATATTATGGTTTATGTGATAATTCTGTTTATTTCCAGATCTTATTTTTGTTATCCGTGAGCATCTTAAGAATTTTACTCAATTACAATTTAATCATTTCTACTTTATCAGAAGAATATTGATAACACAAGATAAATAACAATGATATTACATCAATATGATTGTTTATTATATTTTATCGGTGTTATTAATCAGAATACTATCAAGTAACTAGAGACGGGATTTTGATTGTACAGAGTGAAATGGGAAATGCGTTTGTCATGAAAATGGCTGTAGAGTGAGTATTGACAAATGTACTTTATTTGTACTTTTTTGGGGAATCATTAACGTTCATTTTTTTCAAATTTAAAAAGTCACAGGAAAACTAAACTCAAAGTCAAACCGACAAATGTTATTAGAAAGAGAACTTATTGCTCTATCAGATCGTGTATTTGGTTGCTTAAAGAATTAAAAAGAAAAGTTGTTACGACAGATGAAAATCTAGTTAGGTTTTTGTGTATTTTTTTTAATAAACATGAATTATTATTAAGAGGAGCCGAAAATAATCTAAATTTAAAAGAGCGTGATAAAAAAGTTATAGAAATAAATATCAAAGTTACAAATTTCACTAAGTGCAAGAACTTCCTTTAACAAATTTTGGACGGAGAAAGGATTTTATTTACCAGATTTTAGTAACTTTGGATGATAATCCTTATTATCTCACAAAAAAAAACAGAGTTAGGTAGATCAAACTTTCTATTATTTTAACATTTGGACATACCTACCTACTTGAGTATACTGAATAATATTCGACAATATAACATAACGAAATGTCATAAATCATTAGAAAGTATAGTCTGTTTTATGGTAGGTATTTTATATCAGAACAATCAATTCTTGGTAACATTTAATAAAATTTAATATTTATTTAATTTTCATATAACCATAACACACATTTACGATCATTTTATTTATTAAGGTACTGATAATTTATATAATCGGATAGTTCATTTTCAATAGAATACAAAATTGGTAAAATTAATTATATCAAAACAATATTATTTACATATAGAAATCGTCATTGCTTTTAGAATAGCCCTATGACAGATAATATTCCACAATTCCAATTGTGGTAACAATGTTATTGGTAGGTATTGTAAACTATGTTTATTGAAAATTGATAAAATACCTATAGAAAATTAAACTCAGAACTATTTTTGACAAATTTTATTCTACTTTTTATATTTATTAAATATCTTTACAGTACCTTATAATTTAATATTTTTTCTCCTATAATCTTAATCATTTACGTTATTGATCAAACTCTGCAGGATACTTATTTACTATATACGTATATAATCTGTTAGGATTAAAGGTTATAATAAAAAAAGGAACTCCCGACTTTTTGAAAATATTTTGTCAGAACATTAATTTTTTATGTACGTTATATACAGGGTAGCCCATCGAAAACGTACCGCAAGGCATTACAGAGTAGTAATGAACTTTTCGGCAAAATCCAAAAACAGGTAAAGTTTGCTTCTGAGGGGGACAACTTTTGGTGCAAAAAGCATAGCAAAATCTTCAACCCCCTAAGTGGGGGTGCCATCCCCCAAATTTTTTTAAATGGGAATGGGGGTCAAGTGGGGGGTCATTAGAAAGGGCTTTTAATTCTCTATACATCGATTCTTACTTTTTGAAAATCGATCCATTATTTTAGAAAATATGCAGCTTTGAAAATACGAACAATATTTTTGACGAGAAATGCGAAAATCGATTTAATTTTACTTCAAAACTTACGGTATTAGCTTGGTAAATTCCTTCAAAAGAATTCGCTGTTTTTTTTTCTGATTTGCGAATTCTTTAGCCTGATTTTGGTGAGCAAAAAATTGTCCGCTTTTTGTTTCGTATTTAGATAGGCCACAAGAAGTTGCTAGATAACTGTCTTGTGACTTGTAGTTGAAGAGTACCAATACTGCCGAGTCTTTTAAATTGATTAATTATGGTGTACTCAATTCCAGAAAGAGTAGAAATTATTGAGCTTTTTTTCAAAAACAATGAATGCGGAAATCGGGTCGCCGAACTGTTCAACCAACGGCATCCTGAGAAACATGCGTCTGGAAAAATTGTTCGCGAATTGGTGGCCAAATTTCGCGAAACTGGCTCCGTTCATAACAAAAAGAGGCAGGTTGAAAATCCGGTACTAAATGAACCTACGGAAATAGCGGTATTGGGGCAAGTGGCAATGGATAGTACGCTGAGTACAATGCAATTGGCTACTGCGACAGGAGTGAGTCGTACAAGTGTCCAACGAATATTAAAAAAATACAAATTCCATCCTTATAAGATTCGGCTAGTGCAAGAGCTAAATGAAGACGATTTTGATCGTCGTTTGCAATTTTGCGAAATAATGACTGAACGAGCGATAAACGATAATTTCCTCTTTAATGTGTGTTTTTCGGACGAGTGTACGTTCTTCTTGAATGGTTTAGTGAATCGCCATAATTGTCGTTACTGGGCTGATACCAATCCAAGGATTTTCCATGAGACACACTCCCAACACCCCCAGAAGTTGAATGTATGGGCAGGTATTTTTGGAAATTCCATTGTAGGTCCTTTTTTCCTTCCTGGAAATTTGACAGGCGATATGTACTTGGATTTACTACAAAATGTCATCGACCCAGCTCTAACAAATATCATAGAGGACGACCCTGCTTACAATGAACACGAACTGATTTTCCAGCAAGACGGAGCTCCTCCACATTACTCGCTCAATGTGCGCAATTACCTAAATGAGACGTTTCCAGGACGCTGGATAGGACGAAGAGGTGCAATTGAGTGGCCCCCTCGGTCACCCGACTTAAATCCTTTAGATTTCTTTCTCTGGGGGCACATTAAAAGCAAAGTTTACAGCACTCCACCTGATACCTTGGAAGATCTGCGAGGACGAATCATTAATGTATGTCGCGAAGTAACACCGCAAGTGCTCCAGAATGTTCGACAACGGTTTGAAGACAACCTGTATCATTGTATGCAAGTTGGCGGACAACATTTTCAGCATTTACTTGACTAATACCGTAAGTTTTGAAGTAAAATTAAATCGATTTTCGCATTTC